CATTTCAGGAGCTGCCATGGCAACTGTAGGTACGTGCACTGCACCAGAGCCGGCCCAAGGTGTTATGGGGCCCTGAGCAGAATTTGCATTACGGCCCCCACTTCTACCTATATACATCACCAATCACCCAACTCAGCATCTCCACCATTACCTCTTTATTGCTTAATAAAGAGGTAATGGTGGACTGTATGTCTTAGACAACCTTACCATGTATTTTTACAGTGCTGGAAACTGATAAAATATACCAGCAGAACACGACTTAAAACAACAAGTTAACTATTTTAATTATTTTGAAATGTGCAAACCTAAATACTATTACCCATTAAATAACAAAAATACAAACTATTCATTATAGCAACGGTTCTTAACTTGAAAAGAAAGATTTAAAAAAAATACTATCACTGTCATGCCATATGAAATGCTAATGTATCTGTCAATAATAAAAATATGCTCACATGCTTGTCCCCCTTCATCTGTAATCTGATCAGCTGGAGAGGCACTTTGGGACAGAAAAATTGTTACCAAATATTTGAGAAATACTCCAGGGAAATAGCTGATAGAATGAGATGAATCTATTTAACAACTTATAGCAAACAGGAAATAATAAGAAAAACAACACACAAAGCAGATCTTATTACATAAAACAAGCAGCTAACCGAGGTGTAACATGAAGGGGTGCATAAAGTAAAGCTCTTAAAGGAGAATACTATACAGAAATTCTGTTTGGTAATGCTAATGACATAATGAATGGGATATAACTCAACCTGCCGTAGGATAAGTCGAATGCCACACATTCGATAATACCTGTGGTTTCCATATGACATAACCTAACCTCACCGAACAGCTGAAGGCTCATCTGATGCTTCTGTTTAAATAATGTCATTGTCATTTTCTTCTTTCTCTGTTTCCTTTCTCTCACTTTTCTCCCCAGAGGGATAAATACTCAGAAATGTTAAAGCCAGCAGTGTTAAACTGTCTGATTGTTAACATATTTATTAAAGAAATGTTGCTCTCTCATGTATGACTACCTCTGTGACAGCCTAGCATAGGGGTGGCCAACCCGGGGCTCCTGAGCCGCATGCGGCTCTTTGCCGGGTTTCATGCGGCTCTTACGCACATATCAAAGTTTGTGGAGGGTTTGGAGGGTTTTTTTTGTTGTTGATGTTGTTTTAAAATGTGCGTGTTCACTTTGCTTGAGTTTAATACGGTATTTTCATTAAATGCGCATGCGGGTGAGATGAAAATACCGCAAAGTTTCCCAGTAGGGACAAGCTCACCCTTAAAATGGCAGGGAAAAAATGCACAGCAAAATGAAAACATGAAGATGAATACGGGACATTTTAAACAGAGTGGGAGAGTTTATATTTTTTTGTTAAACGCAATGGCAAGCCATGTCTCATATGTCAGATGTAATTAGCGCATTTCAAAGCTTCAAAGCTTCAGTGCCACTTCAGCTCACTCCATGCTAACATTGACCAGGGATTACCAAAAGAGACTGAACTTCGCAAGCACGAGTTGGCCATTTTGAAAAGTCAGGCAGAAAAGCAGATACAGTTTTTCCCAAATTTTACGAAGCGCTTAGAGACCATAACGCTCGCATCCTATCAGCTGGCTTTGCAAGGGCTAAAAACCCATACAATGAAGGGAAGTTTGTTAAAAAATGCCTCAGTGATGTTGTTGAAATCTTGTCTCCTGAAAACGACAAACTAAAACACATGGTATCAGACGTCCAACTGTCCGGCACACTGTTGAACACAGAATATCGGACATTAACACGGTTATTGAAACACAGTTGCACTCTGACCTTCAAGCACGAGTATTTTAGTGTTGCACTGGATGAGAGTTGTGATATACAAGACAAGCCTCAATTGGCAATCGTCTGTGTCAAGCGATTGTGTGATCAAAGAACTCCTTGATATTGTGCCATTAAAAGACAGAACCCGTGGCATAGACGTAAAAGAAACCATGTTGGCTGCATTTGAAAAAGCAAATCTACTCATAACGAAACTACCTGCAATAACCACGGATGGAGCACCAGCCATGATGGGATCTGTGAACGTGCTTGTGGGGCTGTGACCAAACAAAGCTGACCAAACATTTCCTGAGTTTTGGAATTTCCAATGCAGCATCCACATGGAGCAACTCGTGTCTAAATCATTGAATTTAGATAACGTCTTAAAGCCTGTGATGGAAGTCTTCAACTACATCCGCACACATGCGCCTAACCACAGGCAATTCAAGAATCTCATCGCTGAGCTGGACCAAGGGCTTCCAGGTGACCTGCCACTCTACTGCACTGTGAGGTGGCTGTCAAAAGGCCAGGTACTCTCTCGCTTCTTTGAGCTTTTGGATGCCGTGAAACTGTTTATGGAAGAGACGGACAAGGACTATCCCGAGCTCTCGGACCTCAAGTGGATTATGGATCTGGCCTTTGTGGTTGACATGCTGTGCCATTTGGACAGACTGAACCTGACCCTGCAGGGTAAGTTAAAAATGCTGCCTGACCTGGTGCAAAGTGTGTTTGCGTTTGTCAACAAACTACAGCTGTCCATCTTCAAAAGGGAGATTTAACGCATTTTCCCACTCTGCTTAAGTTGCCAGCGCCGCCCTGAGTAAGCAAAGAGCCAGATATGCAACGCTGGTTGAAAACTTGCAGGAAAGTTTTGTGACCCGGTTCCGTGATCTACAATAGAAAAGGACACAGATTACGTTCCTCGTCAACCCATTTAATGCAGAGACGGACTGTTTGAAAGTCCCGCTAGTCACAGATGAAGCTGCGGCTGAGTTGGAGATGATTGATCTTTATGAGGAGGACCAATTGAAACCTGCTTTATGGGAAGGGAAGTTCTGGAAAAGTGTGCCAATGGAAAAATACCCCAATGTCAAACGGGCTGCTCTTAAGATACTGTCAATGTTTTGGTCAACATACGTCTGCAAGTCTATGTTTTCTACCCTAAAATATTTGAAATCAAAGCATCAATCTGTTCTGACTGACACTCATGTGAAAGAATTGCTTTGAGTGACAACAACGGAATACAAGCCAAATTTGAAGAGGAGTGTTCAAGGCAAGGAATGCCAGAAGTCCCACTAAACAACATGCACAGTAAAAGAAAAATGCTATTGTAGATTATTATATTTTTGTTTGTGGACTCGGTTGAACTGAGAGTTTGTGTGTGTGAGACAGTGCACACAATGTTCATTGTTGAAAATGACTGGCCTGTGGTTTTAGTACTGTAGGAGTCCATTTCTGTCATTATCATGTTGGTGTGTGACATTTACAATAAATCTGGCTGAGCAGAGGTGTGTGTATTTTTTGTGCGTGTGTGTGAGAGAGAGGGAGAGAGAGGGAGGAAGGGATGGGTGATGTTCATGTGTGCCCATGTGTATGATGTGGTTATTTGCGGTAACACAATAAAAAAGTGGCTCTTGGTCTCTGACTGGTTGGCCACCCCTGGCTTATTTAGTTTTAAATGAAGAGGTTTTTAATTGTCATTTGCTGTGCATCTCTTTTTCTGTCATGGTTGTGTAGCCCAGTTTGTGACAAATAAAATATGTATCGGGAAACTGTCAATTGTGGAAGACTTAAAAGGCCTCACCATCAAGCGTTACTATCTTGAAGCAGGCAGGGAGGGACTACCAGTTTCCACCGGCAGCAGATTTTTGTCTGGTCTTTCCATGTGTCTGCTGGGCTTTGTTTATTAAATCTAAAAGTATATTGCTCTGGATGTGTGGATGAACAGGTTGTAAATGTTCCTAAAAATCAGTCGTACAAATGCAGAAATCATTATATTTTCCAAAAATGCACAACATGCCATGTACAGTTTGAGACAACAGCACCTTACTGACAATGAAAGTATGTGCTTTCTAGTGTACTACATGACAGTGTATCTGAACTGAGACACATTGAAGTATTAAGGGCTGCACTTGGAGTCTGTCGGTCTAAAAAAGATATAGTTTCTTTATAAAAATCTGCCAGTATCGATCATATTAATACAACTATACTTTCTCATGTTCACTTGATGATTTATAGTTGCTGTTTCACTGTTCACAGCTGAACCAAGCTCTGTCGTATGTAATGGAAGAATAAGAGAGTTCAATAGAGGGGTAGAAAAAAATTCTGACCTGAAATGTTCCTCCAGTGGCAGCACAACCCTTGCTCAGCAGGATGGCTGTACCCATAGATGGATCAATCAGCGAATGGCTGTAAAGCCATTTTACCAGGTGATCAGATGACAGGGGTGTCATCTTTGTTCACTTTAATTGCACCCCACGGGACAGCACTTTCTCGCTCAGCTGTCTCCTGGAGACTAGAAGCTTTGCCTCTGTGCTCACCCGAAAGAATGTGCAGAAGAATGCCTTATTCCACTTTCATTCTGAGGAAAGCTTTCTAGCTCCTCTGTAACTGTGGATGATATTTGACAGACTATATATAACTTGAATAATAATAACTTTATTTATACATGGCACCTTTCAAAACAAAGTTACAAAGTGCTTCACAGTACAAGATGGGAAATGGAATGAAATAACATAAAGAAAACTAGCAACAAATGGAGATAAGAGCAAGGAATAAAGAAAATTAGAAATGGAAAAACAGGCAAATTAAAAGCAAATATTAAAAAAATGAATTAAAAGGGATAATTAGGGGAAGGTGATAAAACAATTATTATGGAGAACATAAATGTAAATCAAAGTGGAGGCACAGAAAACAGCTGCGTATATGTCTTTAAGATGGATTTAAAAGACGACAGTGAGCCTTCTTAGGAAGCTTGATTCAGAGAGTGGGTCCACTGACGGAAAAAGCTGGATCAGCCTTGGTTCTCAGCTGAGATTGTGGGATGACCTTGGCCCATAAAGTAGAATCACCAGCCAAGTCTGATTAAAAACATGGGTTTTCTAATGTTGGCCCCAAATAAGGTTTTAAAATGCATTCCACCCGGAAGTTGACCTTTTCTTACAACGTGCTACGTTGTGCATTGTTGTTGTTGTCATGGCGACGCTTCCGTCGAACAAACGCTGTTGCTAAGCGATGCTCGTAAACTTTAACTTAGAAAGACGATCCCGAAGCTACCCGCAGCTCCATTCACTTGCGTTCAGTCCAGTTCCATAGTTTTGTTCCCGTTATGACCGAGCAGACAGCCGCTGCGGGACATAAAGTTGGAAAACCGATGTTGCATAACTGGGTCGAAGAGGTGAGTGCTGTGAACCATTTCCGAGTTTTAGCTAATGTTAAAAGTTCACGCGAGACTTCTTAACAACGTTTGCTAAATTAATCTAATAATTAATATACCTGGAGCTAACACCCGGTGTCTAGGTAACCATATTTGAAAGACAGAGTCCCTGACACAGCAAGTATATGTTATAACACGGATTTCAAAGTCATCGTCACTCAGGGCCACAGAATTAGGTACACCTTGCTAGCACTGCCAGCACTAAGTTGGATCCAATTCTACCTTCAGAGTTGCCTTAATTCTTCGTATGGTCTGCTCCTGCTGTAGCCCATCTGCTTCAAGGTTTGCTATTTTGTGTAGTATTTAGAGATGTCCTTCTGCAGACCTTGCTTATGACAAGTGGTTGTTTGAGTTTCTGTTGCCTTCAGCTCAAACCAGTCGAGCCATTCTCTGACCTCTGGCATCAACAAGTCATTTTACCCGTGAGAACTGCTGCTCACTGGATATTTTTTTCTTTTTTGGACCATTCTCTGTAAACCCTAGAGACGGTTCTGTGGGAAAATTCATGTAGATGAGCAGTTCCTGAAATACCTGGATCATCCACGCCATGTTCTTAAATGACCTTTCTCCCCCATTCTGAGGCTTGATTTGAACTTGAGCAGATCATCTTGACCATATCTTCATGTCTAAATGCAGTGAGTTACTACAATGTAATTGGCTAATTCAATAGTTGCATTAAAAAGCAGTTTAAAAAGAACAGGTGTACCTAATGGACTGGCCAGTAATTGTGTATCAATATAGTTGTAATTCCTCACCAGATAATTCAATACATTTGTAAAACCATTTGAAATAAAGCTGAAAGTCTGCACTGCAGTCATGTCTTGATTGTCTGATTTATAATCCACTGTGATGGTGTACAGTTGCAAAAGTACAAAAACATTTTTTACTTATCCAAAATTGTCGATTTTTATGGTTTTCCACACGATTAAAAAATCCTGTGATTTTTTTTTTTTTTTTACTCAGAGAGCCATTGCAGATCTCCATACAGAGGACCCAAAGACACACAAGCACATACATGGCCACAAGGGGATTCTCACAATAGACCTGGAGTCCAAGATGGAGTCTATGACTACGCTGAAAGCAGCTTATGTTGCTCCAAAGAGTCCAGTGGGGAGGTTACAGGGTATGTGCCTTTATCTTTCACCAGCCAGAATGGAAAAAAAATGTTGAAACCCATACCATTAAGAGCCATGTAAAGAATAGAGAAGCATTTACAAGAGCTGAAAGATTTTATTATTTGCTGTGACCTCTTCTTATTTCAATTCAAAAAAGTTTTTTACTTTGGGGGATGGCTTTCTATGCATGCCCTGTTCATCCTGTCTTTTATATTTTCCTCGGTTCAGGCATCAGAGGCGAGCTGCTTAAAAAACACACTGCCCAGATGATAAGGTAAATGAACTATGAACAAGTCTTTTGATGTTAAACGAATTATTTCTGGAAGTGGTTTGTTTATGGAGACTAGGAGCACTGCCTGACCATGTCTTGAGGGGAAGGTGATGTAATATTTACACGTCGGGGTTTGTTTTACTGTTCAGTCACAGCTGTGATAGCTTTTAAATCAGACTTTATGGTGTTATTTTACACAGGGGCCAGTCACCCTTATGGCGTTTATAAAGTCCATCCCTGCAGAGGTGGTTGTTAACATCCCACACAAGTTAACAACTCATAAAAGCCTGCAAAGCGTAATGTCTTCAATGAAAACCTTTTGACTAGTAGTAGACAGTGTGTCATCATTTGATTTTAAACCATACACTAAATTTCCTGGGTTTTATAAGCAAACACCAACGGTGTGTCCAATAGCCTTGTATGATTTGGCTGATTGGCTGTTATGTAAAGCGCAACACTGTGTATAAATAATCCTAGCCAGATGGGAGATTGGCAGAGTATCAAGCTTTGGGTTTCATTTCAGTCCAGTATGACATATTTTATATACTATATGCAATACCACAGAGCCACTGAGTGTCGTGAAACGTTACAAATAAATGATGCTTACACCAGGAGCCTTAAACGCCCTGCACACCATCAGCTCACCCACACATGTTTGCATTTATTAGAGCTCTTCGCTGGACTGTGTGGGCATGAGCAGACTGCGCCTGGCTAATAGTGCTTCTTGCACCTGCTAGGGCGAGACGACTTTACTATTTCCAGTGAATGCAACGCTTCAGCTTGCGTGCTACGTTCAGTCAAAAGATTTGGAAGAAAGCAAAAACCATCCTTGTATGGTCAGACATCATTCCAGGATGGCTAATCTTAATAGCAAATGAGGCAGATGGATAATTGCATATAATTTTTTTTATAAATCACTCCTTTCAGAAGCAGTTGATTTTATTTTCATTTTATGATACTAACGTTAGCATTATGAATGAATTCTGAATATTTTCTGAGTTGCAGGCCATACACACAGGAGTTAAAGGCAAATTTGCTTCTTAAGTACATGAAGCAGCCATGTGAAAATTTCAGGAATGGAAAAACAAATTTAAGAAAATGGAGAAAACTGGGTAATTGGATGATTAAAACAAGTTCTGCTTCTTACATAGATTTTGTTTCCAAAATACCTTTCTAACGTGCAGCTTATGGCTGTGAAATAGTGTTCTTCGCATGTTCTATATGATAACTTGGACATGTTACTCAGACTTCTCTCTTTGTTCAGACTGCAAGCTTTGTGTATAAAACATGAAAATATATTGCATGTCTGCTGGATATCTCTGTACTTGAAATGCAATGGTTTTCAGAACTTCTGGGAAACAAGAGAGAGCACAAATCTTCAACCCACCTCAAAATTTTTGTGTGGCTTCTTTCAATATATATACAATATATATAAACTATATATAAAAACTTCTTGATTTTGCCAATAACTGTAGTGTGGCATGAATCTTAGACCTTAGAATATAAAAATTACAAAAAAAATCCAAAAGTCGAAACATCTAAAATACCTAGTGCTACTCCAAAAAGAGCAGGGCATTTGACATTGTGGCACACATGATTAAATGACAGGGGAGTACAACATGGATAGAAGGGAATGAAGCAGTCAGTTCAGCTGCAGTTTATACAATATACACTATAGGAAAAAATCATCTGTTTCTGAGGAGTTCAGATGGGAAGCACTGATTGATTTTTGATTTCAGGAAAGACCTAGAATTCATCCAACCATCCATTTTCTGCTGTTTATCTGGGTCTCGGTTGTGTGGGCAGCAGAGATGTCCAGACCTCCCTCTAGCACCTCCACCTCTAGCTAATCTGGGGGAAGCCAAGGCATTTCCAAGCCAGCCAAGAGACATAGTCTCTCCTCAGCATGTCCTGGTTCTGCCCAGGGGCTTCACAAACCTCTCTGAGGAGGCGCACAGGAGGCATAAATGCCCAAACCACTTCAGCTGGCTCCTTTCAATGTGCAGCAACTTTCAGTATATTTTATAGTAAATAGGTTGTTTACAAAATCATTTAATTACATCATGCTACACTTAAAAAAACAAAACAACAACAAAAACTCTATGTGCTGGATCAAGTGCTGCTGCTTGGTGCTTAGATTCTGTCTTCTTGTTTTCACAGTGAGAAGATTTATGCTGATCTGAACCCACTGACTCCCAAAACGGAGTACTGCACCACAACCCAGAAGGATTTCTGTGTGGAGGGATTTGTGCCTCATAAACCTGAAACAACACGTGTATGTAGAGTTATAAACTTTGTGTGTGTTTGTGTGTGTGCTTAATCTCCCCAAACAGCAACAATCTGATTTCAAAACTACAAAATAAATTTCCATACTTTTATTTCCTCCTCTTTGAGTTGTTTGTATTTTGGTTATGTGAAATACACAGTTGCTGTGAGAAGCAGAATACCTAAAATAATAAGTACATCATCAGCCTCTCCTATAAACGCCTGAAAATCTTTCTGACATTTTACTGGTTTAATTTTTTACAGGTTCATGACTACAAAACTGACCAGGCCATCACATTCTGGAGTGAAAACTGCCAGCGGATACAGGTGAGTCAGACTGCTTTATCTCATAGTGGTTTCTTTTTCTCTCCTTTAAAATATCCATATTTAAGTTCTATTTAAGTGATTTATTTATCGGCTGAAAGTTATGTGTGATCAACAGCACAGCAGTTTTCCCTGTCTGATGATGAACACTTGTGTCCTTAGTGTCTGAGCAGCTGTTTTCTTTTCTTAAAGAATACCGTTTAGCCACTAATAGCACCATGATTTATGTCAGGGAACACACAACAGCAGCAGGAGAGTCACACTTATCCACCAAGGTCAAGAGGGTGATATTAATCACCTCTCTCTGCTGTGATTAGTCATAGTAGGGGTGGGCGATATAAACGATATACGATAGAAACGATATAAATTTGGCCAACGATAGAGATTTGAGCTGTGTCCCAAAACATCGGCTGCATCCTTCGGAGGACCCGGTCTTCACGGCCTACGTGGGCCGGGTCCTTCAAAGACCGAGAAGGCCGGAAGTGCGAGGCTGTGAAATGGGACGGTCTAGCCTTCAGATTTGCGTCACTGCTGTGTCGGTGGAGTTTAATTAACTCGGCCATCTGCTCCTTGCTATCTAAGGCTGTATCCCAATTCAGGGTCTGCAGCCTTAAAGTACGCAGCCTCAACGATCCTCAAGGGCCGCGTACTTTAAGACCGCTAAGGCCGGAAGTGCGAGGCTTGTAAAATGGGACGGTCTAGCCTCCGTTGCGCTGCCCAGGTTGCCTACCAACCATGATACTAACTGGAAACGTTTCATACAGCTTTGTTTGACAGAAATGAAGGAGAAAATCTTCTGTTCATTTGTTTGTTTGTTTCTACATGAGCTTTGATCATTCTCTGTAAGATTAAGGTCAGCTATTGAACGGCGTATATTTTAAAGTAACGGCTTTAAAACCAAGTTAGTACAAACGTCACTAATGTCACATAACTTTGCCGATATGTGGCCAGCAGTAATGTTTTAATGTTCTTCGTTATTAAACATTTGCACATAAATAAGTGACATAATATTCAGTACTTACTTAAAGTTTACTCTTC